AGCTGAAGACGAGCTGCGCGGATCCAGTCGATCAGCACCTCAGTGACCTCACCCTTGCTGCGCAAGGGGAAGACTGTGGTGTAACGCGAGTAGTCGTCAACAACGAGCAGGAAGTAGCGCTCCTGACCCTGTCCACGGACGCGGGCTGGGCCCCACACGTCCATGTGAAGCGTCTGCAACGGGGCCTCTGTCGGAGGAAACTGGGAGGAGTGAGGGGCAGCACGCTGGCGCCCCTCGACACAGGGGACACAGGCAGGGCCAGGGCCCTGAGGAAGGGGAGGTAGAGACCGGGGGAGACCAGACACAAGAAGACGGGAGGCCATGCCTCTGAGCCGAAGCAGAGAGGGGTGGCCAAGGCGGTGGTGCCAGAGGAGGGTCTCGTGAGACAGACGACGACACGAACAGGGGGCAGACTCAGGACCAGACCTGGACGCTGCGGCAAACACCTGACCAGACGAAGGGACCCTACCAGACTCAGCACCTGGAGGAGAAGCAGTGGTCAGTGTGTACAGGCTCGACCCTGGCCGACGTGTAAACGTAGCCAGGTGGCGTCCCGTGCTAGCCTCCGTGCAGTGGGTCACTCGCTGACGAGCAGGAGTGAACTGGTGGACACCCGCATCCTGTAGGTCAGCACCACTCACCAGGTTCGTCGAGAACAAGGGGAGGTAGAGACCAGACAGGGTGCCAGAGGGGGCCGCCGGACACGGAAGGACCGTGGAGAAGCGAGACAGGACAGGCCCCCCAGAGGGGTCAGCCAGGGACACCGCAACCGGCCGACTCAGCGGCGTGAGAGTGGTGCGGTCCCAAAAGAAGGAGCGAGACGCTCCAGAGTCAAGGGTGAAGGTGTGAGAGGCCGAAGCCGACACAATACCTGAGAGGGCGGACTCACCAGTACCTGAGAGCACAAACGCACTGGCACCTAGAGCAGCAGTCTCACTAGCACCTGACGCAGCAGTACCAATGCCCGGGTCGGGCGGGAAACACCGGTAACAGTCATCCTCATCACTACCAGTCACAACATACAAAGCAGAAAGAATAGCATCAAAGTCAAGATCATAAATGGCTACACCAGCCCTAGACAGCTCCCCCCAGCGGGGGATCTCAGCGGCCTCCGGAAACTGCTGACGCCAGGCGTTGGTCAGGCGGCCAAAGCAGCGGCGGGCTGTGTGGGTGCCTACACACCTCTCCCCCGCACAGTCACCGGTGCGAAGAACGTAGGGGCAGGGACCAAATGCACCATCACGCTGACGCTGCAAGTACCACTCACGGAGCTGCTGAGGGGCGGGGACGTTGCGAGAGCGCTGCTGCTGCTGCTGCTGGCGCTGGCCACCCCCAGAGCTGCTCCGCTGGGACGAACCACTCCGACCCCCGCCGCCACCGCCACTCCCGCCTCCACCGCCACCCCCGTCTCCACCGCCACCGCCCCCACCGGTACCCTCGCCCCCGCCTCCTCCGCTACCGCCTCCGCCGCCACCTCCGCCTCCACCGCCTCCACCAGTACCTCCACTCCCGCCACCACCTCCACCGCCACCCCCACTCCCTCCGCCACCCCCACCTCCTCCGCCAGTGCCCCCTCTAGCTCCACCCGCTCCCTTGCCCCCCTTGCCCTTGCCAGAGCGGCGTCTACCGCTGGGGGCAGACGCCGCACCGACCGACTCAAAACCAGCGAGGTCGGCCGCAGCGGCAGAGGCGACAGAGGGCAGCAGGGGGGAAGGAGAACACCCCTCAAAGATGGGGGTGCGAGGGTCACCCCGAGAGGCCCCTACAGCGACGATGCTCTTCTCAGCCGCTAGCAGGGACTCCTCAAGGAGGTCGACAGTGTGGGTGGTGGGACAGACAGAGAGAAACTGGTCCCTAACGACACGAAGGGACTCAGGGAGACGGGTGACGAGAAAGTAGAGAGTGATGTACATGGGAGGAGGGTTTGCGGCGCGGAACTCAGCAAGAAGTGCAGCGCGGTAGCGAGCGTCACTAGCGCGGAGGTGGGTAACGAGGTCAGCGACAGTGGGAAAGGCAGCGAGGTCAGGAAAGAGAAACGGTAGCATGAGGCGGCTCAGCGTAGCGGAGGAAGGGGAGGAGTAGCGTGCAACTACAGCGTCGTACAAGGCCTGAGCGGTCTTGCACTGACTAAAGTGGGCACGCTCGGAGGAAGGGAGGTGGCGACGCACAGCAAGACGTGCAGCAGCATCGCGTGTGGCCCACTTGGAGCGAACAGCAGGGTCAGCATCAGCAGGAGGGGCAGGGACAGCTCCAGAGACAAAGTCAAAGAGAGAAACCTCATCGATCGCATCGCACAGTAAGTACAGCTGCAGGTCCTCAATCCAGACTGGAAAGTCAATGGCGCGACCCTCAGCGTCAAAAGACAGGACACTGGGGGTGGCCATTGCAGCAGCTGATTGTCTCACCGGGCACGAAGAGTCGGGTAGCACAGCGGCTCAGCAACTCGGCAGAACAGCAGCTGCGCACGCCTCGTAGCAGCAGCAGCCCCTCAGGAGCAGGAGCTCGGCTCCTCAGGTTGCCCGGGCGGCTCGGGCGGCTGGGGCGGCGCGGGCGGCTCGGGCGGCTCGGGCGGCTCGGGCGGGTCTGCTGCACGGGTGGTTGGGGCGGCTCGGCTGTACGGGCGGCTCGTGCGGCGCGGGCGTCGCGACGGGCGGCTCGCTGGCGGCTCGCGGGCGGCTGCACAGGCGGCTCAGGGACGGCGGCGCGGGCGGCTCAGGGACGGCGGCGCGGGCGGCTCAGGGACGGCGGCCTGGGCGGTCGTGGGCGGCTCACGCTGGGCGGGTGCACGGGCGGCTCGGCGGGCGGCGTACAGGCAGCTCACGGGCGGCTGCGACGGGCGGCTCGCGGGCGTCGGGCGCTAGGGCGCTGGGGCGACGACGGGCGGCGCTCAGGCGTCAGGGCGGGCGGTCGTCAGAGCGCTAGGGCGGGCGGCGCTCAGGCGTCAGGGCGGGCGGCCGTCAGGGCGCTAGGGCGGGCGGCGCTCAGGCGTCAGGGCGGGCGGCCGTCAGGGCGCAAGGGCGGGCGGCGCTCGGGCGCTAGGGCGAGCGGCGCACGGGCGCTAGGGCGGGCGGCCGTCAGGGCGCTAGGGCGGGCTGCGCTCGGGCGCTAGGGCGGGCGGCGCTCGGGTGCTAGGGCGGGCGGCCGACAGGGCGCTAGGGCGGGCGGCCGTCAGGGCGCTAGGGCGAGCGGCGCACGGGCGCTAGGGCGGGCGGCCGTCAGGGCGCTAGGGCGGGCGGCGCTCGGGCGCTAGGGCGGGCGGCGCTCGGGCGCTAGGGCGGGCGGCCGTCAGGGCGCTAGGGCGGGCGGCCGTCAGGGCGCTAGGGCGGGCGGCGTTCGGGCGCTAGAGCGGGCGGCCGTCAGGGCACTAGGGCGGGCGGCCGTCAGGGCGCAAGGGCGGCGGCGCTCGGGCGCTAGGGCGGGCGGCCGTCAGAGCACTAGGGCAGATCAAAAAAAAAGAAGTACTAGGGCCCGGAGCGCGCTCCGGGCAGAAAAAAAAGTTAAGAGGTAGCGGTGGTGGGCCCTACGAACAGTTCCCACAGGGGAACCTGCTCGATACCATGAGAAGAAGTGAACGAGAATGAAATGACTATGAACGAAGTGAGTACAAATAGGAAACCCTGATTGGGTTGTACCCCTTATGGGATACCCCACTATAGCCTACAGAAACAAGTAAGCTATATGTTCTGACACCGGCCCCCCCCCTTTTCCCGTCACCCGTCGCGGCTCCTTCGGGGGCCGCGACCTGGAAGGGGGGGGGCAGGCGTCGCCCCCTCTGCCGCCTGCTTTGGCGCCCGGGGAGGCCGTGCGTCGGCCCCCCCCCCCCTCCCTCCCCCCCCTCTTCTCCTCCTCCTTTTGTTCCCTCTGCTGCAGCTGCCGCTGGGGGGGAGGGTGTGAGAGTGTGGGGGAGCCCGGGGAGGGACTGGGGGTGGCGGGTGTGGGGGTGATGGGTGATGTGTGGTCCCCTGGCCCTACGGCCCCATTCTCCTCCGTTTACCCCCCCCCCCCCCCCCCCTCTGCTGCTCCTGCAGCAGTGTGAGGGGGATGGGGAGGAGGAGGGGGAGGTTGAGGGGATGTAGGGGGTGACCAACCAGAGCCTACCACCTCCTCTCCTCTCTCTCTCCTCTCTCCCTTCTGTTCTCTGTTTTCTGCACTGGTTGTCACTGCTCCTGCCTACTGCTGCTACTTCAACTGCACTCTGCTTGGTGTACCCCATTATGGGGGCGTTGACTGCATATTCTTCCCTACAGGCACTTATGGGGGCGTGTCAAGAATAATATATATTTCTATATATTGTTTTGTAACTGCCTGTAGTGTAGACTAGTGTAGTTATATAATGTTCTGTTTTGGTGGTGCACCTTTCATCTTGCCTATATGTACTGCTCGCTCTATAGTGAAAACCCTTCTTCTCTTTTCAATTCTCTCGACTCTCCTAAACTTACTCGAACTCAACTAGCTATGGCTCCTTAGCCTAGCTAAGCTTTTGACACAGAAGGCGTAAGAGAGTCTGTGCTTCAGACGTCTGCACATTGGTCTTCGAACACCGCCTACAACTTGCGTTTAAATATATCTGCGCCTACAACTTGCGTATACAGGGTCGCTTGACTGTCCCGTACCGTATAGCTCTATCACACTTTGTTTTACCGCTTTAATTCTCTACAACGAAACAACGAAAATAAGTTCCTAGCATTATACGGATATAATCATCTACGGAACCCTTATGCTTGTACATAACTTTCGTGGGTTCGACGATATTATGGATCGGGAGCGAATACTTTTACCGATAAAAGAAGCCTAACGTCGAAGATGTCCGCCTACAAGAGCGGACGACCTACGACAATTGTTCCGGGCAAATACAAACAGTTCTACCGACTAAATATTATACCACACACGTCTGCGCCTACATATGCGACCTAACAAGTACGACTGCAGTTATCCTAACCGGGCTGACCCAAAAAAAAAACCCACTCCATACGACCTACGTCACTATGTCGAGGACGCCAATGTTCTGCCAGTGGGCCAAGCAGGCTTAAAAGATTACGCTGGTGGACTAACAGGTGCTGGATGAAAAGATCTCAAAGAGCTTGCGGAGCATGCAATACAAATGAAAAGAAGCAAATGAGCACGAAAACATCCATTCATACCCATCCACCACACACAGAAGCCCGTGTCCAGATCTGGTCATCCAACCCTGGGCTGGATGATTCTCCCGCCAAAAAACAACAGTTGGGATACGGTCCTACTAGACGCTGATTGGCTCTTGTAGCCTTGGGACTCTGACAACAACTGTTGCCATGGCCACGTGTGCAGAACACCTACAGTTGGTAAACAATGACTATAAAACACAATGAGCAAACGTAGGATGCTACACTTGTACTCATGTTATTTATAAAACACATAAGATCAAAGGTATAAAGGAACACACGTGCTGCAGCTTTAAGGTGGCAGCAAAAAAAAAACCGAGTTAAAGCATATAACGACGCAAGGAAGACCAGTTGGTCGCAACCGGCCATGCGACCGGCGGTCGTCACTTGTCGGCCAAAGAGTTACGATGGCGAAAAATGTCATTCGCGACAAACATCACTGGCACAAAGGGTCACGGCAGGTTGGTTGGAACACATTTTTCACGGTCAGGTGGGCGCGGAATTGTGAGCGGCTAGCCGTGTCGTATGCGGCGGAGCCTTGCGCCCAAGCCCTTCGGAATCCGGAACACACGGATCCAAGGCCTCGGATCATGGGGCAAACGCACTCGGAACTCCGCCACAACGTGATAAGAGTCCCAGCCCGCCATCCCCTCTCCCTCCCACTACGCCGAGGCCTCTCCCTCCCTCCCGCCGTCGCCTCTCCGTTCCTCCCGCCGTCGACTCTCCCTCCCTCCCGCCGTCGCCTCTCCTTCCTCCCCGCCGTCGCCCATCCCTCCTCCCCGCCGTCGCCTCTCCCTCCTCCCCACCGTCGCCCATCCCTCCTCCCCACCGTCGCCTCTCCCTCCTCCCCGCCGTCGCCTCTCCCTCCTCCCCGCCGTCGCCCATCCCTCCTCCCCGCCGTCGCCTCTCCCTCCTCCTCGCCGTCGCCTCTCCCTCCTCCCCGCCGTCGCCCATCCCTCCTCCCCGCCGTCGCCTCTCCCTCCTCCCCGCCGTCGCCCATCCCTCCTCCCCGCCGTCGCCTCTCCCTCCGCCTCACGGTCACCTTTCCCTCCCATCCGCCGTCGCCGCTCCCCCCCATCCGCCGTCGCCGCTTCCTCCTCCCGCCGTCGCCGCTCCCTCCCATCGGCCGTCGCCGCTCCCTCCTCCCGCCGTCTCCGCTCCCTCCCATCCCGCCGTCAACTCTCCCTCGCATCCCGCCGTCGCCTCTCCCTCCCATCCCGCCGCCGACTCTGTCGACAGGTCACGAGCAAGCTGGTGCGCGAGTGGGAGCCGGTGCGCGAGCGCGGGTTTGACTCTGCACCGTGAATTGCAGGTGCGTTTACCTTTCCCTGTCCTTTTTTCCTCCCTTCCCCCTACTGAAAGGTCCTATATTTCCGATTTTTCCTATCGTATTTGTAGTTTCTGTGTGTTGATTGGTCTCTTGCGTTGCACTACTATTTGAAGAGGGGGGAGAGGGAGCGCGAGGGAGCGAGAGCGCAGGAGAGTGCGCGCGTGAGAGCTAAGGAAGCACTAGAGGGAGAGGCGCGAGAGAGAGCGCCGTGCGCGCTTGCGCCGTCGGCGCGGGCCTTATTGGCGCTTGTGCCTAGCCGCTTGCGCTTAGGGCGCTGGGGCCGTGGGCGCAAGCGCCGTGGTTGCTGGCGCCTAAGGCGCTTGCGCTTATGGCGCAGACGCCTTGGCCGCTTGCGCCTAAGGCTCTTGCGCCATGGGCGCTGGCGCATAAGGTGCTTGCGCTTAGGGCGCTGGCGCCGTGGGCGCTTGCGCCGTTGGCGCGGGCTCCGTGGGTGCTAGCACCTAACGCGCTTGCGCTTAGGGCGCGAGCGCCGTGGGTGCTGCCCCATGAGGCACTGGCGCTGTGGGCGCTTGCGCCGGGGGCTCTGGCGCCTTGGGCGCGTGCGCCGTTTGTGCTGGCGCCTAAGGCGCTGGTGCAGTGGGCACGGGCACCGTGGGCGCTTGCACTTGCTGGCGGCTTGGGCACGGGCGACGTGAGGGCGAGACTTGGATGTGCACGTGCACTTGCAGGTGAGTGCGGTTGTGAGTGCAAGGGCAAGTGCGCGTGTGAACGAGAGAGCAGGTGCGAGCGTAAGCGCGAGTGTGAGTGCGAAAGCAATTGTGGGAGTGAGTGCCAGGGCGAGTTTGAGGGTGAGAACGAGTGTGAGTGTGTGTTAGTGCAAGGGGGAGTGCGAGGGTCCGTTTGAGAGTGTGCTAGGGTGAGTACGATGATGAGTGCAAAAGTTTGTGTAAGTGTTTCTGTGATTGTCGAAGAAGAGTTGAGAGTACATTACATGTGAGTGAGTGCGAGAGTGAGTGCAAGAGTGAGTGCGATGGTGAGTGCAAGAGTGAGTGCGATGGTGAGTGCAAGAGTGAGTGCGATGGTGAGTGCAAGAGTGAGTGCGATGGTGAGTGCAAGAGTGAGTGCGATGGTGAGTGCAAGAGTGAGTGCGATGGTGAGTGCAAGAGTGAGTGCGATGGTGAGTGCAAGAGTGAGTGCGATGGTGAGTGCAAGAGTGAGTGCGATGGTGAGTTCGATGGTGGCTGCGATGTTTAGTGCAAGCGTGAGCGCGGGTGTGAGTGCGAGGGTGTGTGAGATGGTGTGTGAGGGCAAGTAGAAGAGTGAGTGCGAGGGTGAGTTCGAGGGCGAGTGTGAGCGTGTGGGTGTGGGTGTGAGTTGAGTTCAAGGGTGCCACCGTGCCGGCGACTGTGTGTGCGTGTGAGTGTGAAAGTGTTCGAGTGAGTGCGCGAGTTCGAGGGTGAGTGCAAGGGTGTGTGTTTGTGTTTCTGAGGGTGTGTCTAAGAACGGTTGAAAGTAATTGTGCGTCCGTGAGTGGTTGCGAGAGTGAGTACGAGAGTGTGTGAGGGTGAGAGGGCGGTATCCGGGTGCGAAAGCGGGTGTGACTGCGAGTGTGAGTACGCGCATGTACTTGAGGGTAAGTGCGAGGGTGCGTGCAAGTGCGTGTATGCGGGTGAATATGAGAGGAAGTACGAGGGTGCGTGTTTAGGTGAGTGCGAGGGTGAGAACGAGAGCAAGAGTTATAGCATGTGCGAGAGTAAATATGATGGTGCAGGGTTTGGGGTGAGTGTGAGCTCGAGTGTGAGGGTAGTTCAAGGGTGAGTGCGAGGATGAGTGGGTGTGCGTGTGAGTGCAAGGCTGAGAGCGAGACTGCGTGCAAGTGTGTGTCTTAGGGTGAATACGAGAGCAAGTGCGAGTGTGAGTGCAAGGGTGCGTGTGAGTGTCCTTGCGTGCGCGTGGAAGTATTTGTGTTAGTATGATTGGAATGAGAATGATCATGAGTGCGAGGGTTAGTGCAAGAGTTAACGTGTAGGTTTGTATGTGTGTTTCTGTGAGTGTGTCTAAGAAAGTTGAGAGTATTTGTGCGTGTGAGTGGGTGCGGGATTGAGTACAAGATTGAGTGCGAATGTGAGTGTGAAGTTGAACTTGAGGGTGGCTTCAAGGCATGGCATCATGCTGGTGTAGTATCTGTGGTGCCACGACTAATACCAATTTATCTCTATGAGCTGTCAAATCGATTGCTCATCTTTTTCCATTGTGCTTATTTCGTCTCTAGTGGGTGAGCTGCATTCTCTGCTTTTGTCTTCTTGTGCAATGCTATGAGGTGTACTCTCTTTGTTTTTGCTTTCTTATGCAGTGTGGGTGAGTTGTTTCCTAATTGGCCTCCTCACAGGGGCACATGAGTTGCATCCTCTGTTTTTGCTTTCTTGTGCAGGGCGTGTTGCATTCTCTGTTTTTACTTTGTGCAGGGCTCGTAAGCTGCATTCTTTGATTATGTTTGGCGGAGAAGGGAGATGAGAGAGGCAATGGGAGGGAGATGAGGGAGGGAGGGAGGGAGGGAGGGGATGAAGGGAGGCAGGGAGGCAGGGAGGCAGGGAGGCAGGGAGGCCGGGAGGGAGGGAGGGAGGGAGGGAGGCAGGGAGGGAGGGAGGGAGGGAGGGAGGGAGGGAGGGAGGGGTGTAGGGAGGGGTGTAGGGAGGGTAAGGGGTGATTGGCTAGTGATGATTTACTAATAGCTGAATCTCATGATGGTTGTGTGTTGACTATCCATATGTATCTGTGCTTGTTTGCGTGCGTGTCAGTGTGTATGTGTGTGTGTGTGAGCCTATGTGTGCATGTGCAGTCGTGTTGTTTGCATCGTTTGTGTCTGTCTCAAGGTGTGTGCTGAAGTGCCTCGTGTATGCAACTCAGGTTGTGATCGTCGGTGGGGCAACTTAGCGTGCCAGACCAACCTTTGTTGCATCATCGATGCATTCTAGCATTCTCCCCAAGACCCTTATTATTGTGATGTGTTGTCCTCGTTGTACCAGTACAATGTCGCATGTGCTCGTTCATGTTTGTTGTAAGGTGTCATGTTAAAGTGTGTCAGGTCTGCAATTGAGGTGGGGATCGTTGTTGGGGCAGCGTTGCTCGCTCGCCTTAGCATACCGGATCCATCGCTATTGTAGCACTGATGCATTTTGCCATTCACTTTATGACATTTGCTGTTGTTGATTGTTGTCGTCGTGCACATGTTCGATGCGGTAGATGCAAATCCGTAATTTGCATCCACGCTGAATTTGTTGTCTCGTCAATTGTGTGATGTACCGTAAAATATGGCGAGGCTGCTACCAATTGTTTCCATTCGCTGTATTTATCGACGATTATGGAACAATTGGTCTCATTTGGTTTCACTTTTTTTGGAGACTCTAGTGTAGCAGTGCTGTCATCTCCACACATTTGAAGCACACATTCTCAAAACGTTAAAGCTAGTGCTTCAGACGTTGGGAATATGACAAAAATGTGCACTGTTCATTCAAGTCGACCGAAAAAAGTGCTACCAAATGTAAAGGGGTTGCTATGCAACCCAAAAAAAAAACTGACACCTCGAGCACAACCTCCTCGAGTTTCCCCCAGCGCGAGGTGGGAGGAAGAGAGGCAAGAGTCAAAAACAGGCCCAACCTAACCTAAACACACAGAACCGTCCGAACCTAACGTTCTAGCTAAATCGAGTCTAGGTCCAGACTAGATCGTAACTGTTACGAGTGCAATTGAGTTATCGAATGAGAATTGCACTATCGAAGCAAGAGTACAATGAGCGAAGGCATGAGCGAAGAATGTATAGCGAAACTACTGTTGTAGCGGTAATGAACTGTGGTTGACGCGCGACGGGCCTGGAAGTGAGGTTGGGACTGTGGTTGGGAAATGTCGAGGCGGAGGCCCGGAGCGCGGGTTACCCGCCGAGCCATGAGGTCGGGTGCGACGTACGAAGGTGGCGGGAGGATTGTCGATGCGAGGGTTGTGAGTGGTAACGACGCTGACTGTGGTGCTACAGTGATGTACGCGCTGAGCAGGGGCGCGAAGTAAGGAAAAGGAATTTTCCTTACAGTAACCCATATCCGAACCTAGCTAAGGCTAACACGTCTCATAGCTAACGGTGCATTCCTGCGGGGACACTTGTGTCTCAATCCCCGTTTTCCCGAGTCGCGCCTGTTAATTTTCCCAATGTTGTGTCACAAACATCGAATGTACCGCGACGTAGGGCGACAGATTGGCAGGTTCAGTTGGACACGTTTCATTGGCTGCGATCAAAAAGAGGTGTACAGTTGTGTACATTTGATTGGGTGACAGTACACCCGTATTTTCAACCTCCGCGCAGGGGCGTGGTTTCAATGCGCGGGATCCTTTCCCTCGCAAAATTGGCATTTTCGGATGTCCAGGTGCACGGGTCATGTCAGGCATTTCGAGTCGCGTGCGATTCTTTAACAATGACGGGTGGTTTCACAATTCGTCAACGTGTCAGTAGAGCTACACTGTGAGATCCCCGATCGATCCTAGGGGGGGTTACAGGCGCGTTTGCCTGGGGGGTTATGGGCGCACTGACCCGCTACTGAAACAAGCCCTTTTATCCCAATGGTCTAGTGGTTGGGATTCTGAAATGGTATCAGAGCGATCTCGGGTTCGAATCCTGGTGTATGCACATGTTGGCCGTTGCCACTATGCTCAGTCCTGGGCCTCCCAGTGTGGGGAGGTGTCAGTAGAGCTACACTATGAGATCCCCGATCGATCCAAGGGGGGGGTTACAGGCGCGTTTGCATGGGGGGTTATGGGCGCACTGACCCGCTACTGAAACAAGCCCTTTTATCCCAATGGTCTAGTGGTTGGGATTCTGAAACCGCGATGTCAGCACGTTTTACGCTGACCAATAATAAATACAGTACATACAAGTCGCTGAAAGGCGATTCGCATTTGGGACACGACACAGTTTATGTTGTTTTGGGGTGTCACAAAGTGATTGAGACACAAGTGTCCCCACAGAAATGTACCCTACGCCTAATTCGAGCCTAACAAACTGACTAACGCTCCTAACGTCTTGACTAGCGCTCCTAACGAACCACACAAGGACCCAGGGCCCAGACCCACTTACCAAACTCGGTTGCTCCAAGCTCGGCGCTCCAAACCGCGCTCCGCGCCCCTCGCCCGCTCATGCTCCTGCCCACAAACCAAAACAAACAGAGACGTTAATTAAGGTTATATATTGATTGTAATCAATGTACAGAGATTAAAGCCATAGAGCTCTCTAGAAACATGGCCGAGATGGCCAGCATCCTGAAAAGGAGCACGTGGAACACACGTTACTTCATGTCCTAACGGACAATCGCCAGCTGCCTGGGGAGACGCTCTATGCGATGGCTGGCTAAGGTGGTCGGAACGGGTTTCCCAGAAGCCATGAGAATCGGAGGTCGGGGTGAATGGAGGGTGTACCGGTCCTGTCGAAGAGGAGGAATTGGACTTTATGTGCTTGCCTGATGCTAGAGGATATGCGTTGACGCTTCTTGGCATATTGGTGTCTGCCTCTATAAAATTTGAAGGCGATGAGGAACTGGGCTAGAATCAGCTGCAGGATCTCAAAGCTTGAGAAGGAGGAGTTGCGGTACCTGTGGTCGCAGCGGCTGTTCTACAGCGTCTTAACTGCAGCTCCAACTAGTAGGCTCCAAGGGGGGGACTGTCCAACTCGTGACTGTATCGGGAAAAAGATGTGTTCGGCGGGGGTGGTTTGTCCGAGGTGGCGGTCAGCGATTGTGCGGAGGGCCGAGATGACATTTCCGGCGGAGGAGCATTCAAAAAAGATATGCGGCAGTGTCTCAGCGACGGCATATGGGCACCAGGGCAGACCCCTTGATCGTCAAAGTATTGGAAGCGTGATCCAGAGGGAAGGGTGAATGTGTAGAGTCTGAAGAGGATGTCCCATTGGCGGCTCGGCTGGTCTTTGAGAAAGGGGTCCGTAAGGCCAGGGAGAGGAGGAGGAGGAAGGGTGAGGTCGCGGGTCCATCGGCTGTGATGAGTGAGCGGTTGTGCTGAGTAGAGGAGGCGGCGGATATCGGCGAGGCTGGGGACGCCGTCCTGTAGAAGTTTTACCCTAGCTCCTAACTCTGCCCCTGTATGAAGTGGCCCTGCGAGCCACCAGTCCCGGACGTGCACCTCTATGAGGTCTTATAGATAGAAGAGTCTGATATTTGCTGGGGTGCGGGTGATGCGATGGTCTGGCGAGACGAGGTGGACATTTGCCGAGACAGAGGAAGGGGGGATGTAGGCGACGACATGGAGAGCAAGATGGGATATGGAATAGTGGTCGTCCGAAAGCATGAACCAGTCTCTTGTGGAGGCACAGGAGGCGTGAGGGGTTCGGAGGGCGGCTTGTAAAACTCTTATACTATAGTCTGTGTAGGCTGTAGTGGGGTAGACTATATGGGGTACAACACTTCTAGGTTTTCCTACTTGTACCCACCTGCTTGCTACTTCATTCATTCCTCATTCTTCACATGGTATCAGAGCAGGTTCCTTAGTGGGAACGCTTCCTTGGGCCCACCACTGAAAATTTCCTTTCTGACCGGAGCGCCAGTCGCTCCTGCCCGAGGCGCGCCTTTTTGCCGCCCTTTCCAGGCCCCTAGTGGCCCCTAGCGGCCTCGTCGCCGCCCCTCACGCGGCCCCGTTACTGCCCCTACGCGGCCCCGTCGCCGCCCTTAGCGGCCCCGTCGCCGCCCCTAAGCGGCCCCATTGCCGCCCCTACGCGGCCCTGTCGCCGCCTCTAAGCGGCCCTGTCGCCGCCACTACACGGCCCCGTCGCCGCTCCCCTCCCTAAGCGGCCTCGTCGCCGCCCCTAGCGGCCCCAACGCCGCCCCTACCGAGCAGCCCAGCAGCAGAGCCGCCGAGCCGCCCAGCAGCCGAGCCGCCGAGCCGCCCAGCAGCCGAGCCGCTGAGCCGCCCAGTAGCCGAACCGCCGAGCCGCTCGACAGCCGAGCCGCCCAGCAGCCGAGCCGCTGAGCAGCCGAGCTGCCCTGCCGTCGAGCCGCTCCTCGTCCTACCGGCGCGCCCCTGCCCTACTTACTTGGACTGGTGAGCTCACTCCTTGCTAGGCCACTGTAGTCATGGCTACCCCCAGTGTTCTTACCTTTGATACTGAGGGTCGTGCTGTTGACTTTGAGGTCTGGGTCGATGACCTCCAGCTGTTCCTCCAGTGCGATAGGGCACATGGCCTCTCCTTGTTCGACCTCACCTCTGGACGAGCTAAAGGCGGTTAGCAAGACACAAAGAGAGTACTTTGTAATCAGCGTTCATGAGGGTGATGGGGTGGAGATTCTCTACTAGCGAGGAGTCACCCCTTTTGGGGATAAGGACTGTGCGTTTGGTCAACATGGACGGGGGTAGGCGAGAGAGAGGTTGTGGTGGGGAGAGCAGGGAGTGGAAGACCCGTGCAAAACGCGGGGCGAATTGCCGAAAGAGTTCCCCTGG